TATATGCTTTTCTTAGCATGGTGGGAAGGGAACCCGGTGTGGCGCCTACGACGAAGCAGGTAATCATCAAAAGCCCCATTTTTGGAGTTCGCTGCGCACAGGAAAACTGCCCATATACGCTTTTCTTAGCGAGGTAAGATAGGAACCCGATGTGATGCCTACAGCTAAATGGGGATACTTATAAGTACCCTTAGGCACTCATGTAGCGACGGGGGAAAGCAAAATGTGTTTTCAAACATGTACATTTGAAGACCCATACATGCCTTTCTTGACGTGGTGGTGGACGAAGATTACAGTCGCAGTGTCTAGGAACATCTATCATACACGCTTTTTTTAGCATGGCGAGAAAGACTAGTTTCCCATAGTTTCCCTTAAATGGGGGAGATGCAGGGAGGATGACGAATTTTTTTCTAAAAATGAAAAGGAATTGAATAAAACAAGGGACTTGATTTAGACAGCAAGGAACCCATGTTGAACTCAAATGGACATTGAATAAATGACATTAAATTTAACTTGGACCTAAGCTTAATATTTAATGTGACAACCATGAATCATAAGAGTGATAAAATCAATGACAAATGGATAAGATTCATGCATAAATTGATCATAAGCTTTAACATAGGATTTTTGGACAATAATAATTTGGAATGATCATCTCAATTGGAATAAAAAATATGGAGTATGATATCAAGCTCATCTTGTACATTGTAAATCATTATTGAGGATAAAAAAGTTGCAAGTGGAGTCTATTTGCAAGCAAATAAGGACTCATGGCAAATCAATTCCTAATGCCTTCAAATGAATACTAAGGAATGAACATGATGCTTGTAATGACCAAAGCTTCAAAATGAACTTGCAAGCAATCATCAACTAGGAGCAAATGGAAAATACAGAGACATGTCCATAATTGATAATGCAAAACCTTCAATGGACCATTAAGGAACCATCACTTCAATGAGAAATGCAAATCTTAATGAGCCAAGAGCAAGAAGACAGCAAGAGTTAATGATTTGATTATAAAGCCACGGTGTGGGCTTTTTGGATCATAATAATTGATTCATGACATTGGATTTAATCCATCCTTAAGTAATAGCTAGTGGGAATTGTGAGACATGTGGTGATCTACCTACAGGTTACAATGCAAGAATCTTCAATTGATTCATGAAAGCTATGACGATTGGAATCCAGCTTGCCAACTAGCATCAAAGGCTAGTGTTATCACTCTTATTATGGGAACATTGTAAAAGATGAACTGACACACTTGCAATCAACAAATGCCACATCCTATAGTTAATGTTAATATGAAGTCAAATACAACATACCTTGCAAGAAACAAAATGTCTAAAATGTCCCCGCACATGCACTGCAATATATATGCACATAAGTACACAAAAGGAGCAAGTACAATCATAAAACCCGCATGGGCCCCAGCGAGCGTGTTGCAGATACACACGTGGCGTCTAGGGATGCTGTGCGAGTCAATAAATAAAGTCAAGTTTGAACCCGATCCTTCTACATTGGTCAGTAGAAGTCGACACGGTTCAAACTATTAAACAAATATACGGTTACATCGTTGACCGAGAGATTTGTTTTAAACATTTATATTAGTCCTTCAATGTCTATAAGGAGGTAAATTCATTAATAAGGGCATAAGGGCATACAACTGGCTTGAACCTGATAATCTATTGACAACTAGATAATGTTGACAAATCTCAATCAACAAATGGAATGACCTCAAAACCACCCCGATGATAGTCGTGTTCAACACAGATCTCAACCAAAAAGATTAATTCCAAACATTTCAAACCACACAAATTTCAAAGAAACACCACCCAAATACCCATATAATTGAAAATCTCCAAAAATTTCAAACTCCAAAATATTTAAAATTGAATTCAACCATCAAACACTTAAGCAAAATCCATCCACCCTCCGCAAAAGTTTGCCGAGATGGACAAATATAAAAACTACTCCAGCTCACAAAGAGCTAATATTTGCTGGAGAATAGTATTAATTAGAATTCATTCTCAAACAATCTACTATAAGTAAGGACGTGACATGTGTCCTCTAACCGACAGTTTTGCCACCAAATGACACCGCCGGTAAACAGTTATGACTAGGGCCCTCTGAACCTGGTGGTTCGCCGCCAAATGACACCACTAAATTACGGCTATGGTAAGAGTCTGTACGCTCCCCAATGGCATCAAATCCTTGATATATGAATCAATAGGATATAATCAATAGGGCACAAAGCCTTATGTTAGCTAAGGTGGATTCAAATTTGTCCCCTTAGACAAATATCCACCCCAGGTCTATAAGGTACCCTTGGACGACACAAGTCATGGCTGCCGACAAAGATTCTTCTATCAGGTTGGGTCAACTACTTCCTCTAACTAAGTAAACCAGGGACCACGATGGTCCGGGACGACATAACCATGGGATCTTGATATGGTCCATCATCCATTCCCCCACCATCCTCTTTAAGTACAAGATGGTGAAATTTTCAATTTGAAATATTAACCCTTCAAATACCCAAGCCCATGCTTCTACTATATGCTAGATCCAAGTATCTCTACATATCTGATTGACGACTAGCCTTAATCGAAAGTTCTCTCTAGTTATCGAGAGAGGTAATTAACTATAGTGGCTTATGCCTATAGGAAACTAGAACTCAGATCATAAAGTCCTCATAAACTGAGGGTGAAACCTCTGGATAGTGTCTTATCTATAATTACAATCTGACTTCCCAAAATTTACCCCGAAACTCAATCCGTTAAAACTCCCTGAAAAGCAACGAGGCTGGGGCCGAATTTTCGGGGCCCACAATATACCACTCAACTGAGATTTTAATAAATGAGTTTAGTAAGAGAATGAATAATTTTAATACATATTTTTATCCAATATTAAAATAAATAAATCAAATTACCTATAGATCACTTGAAAATAGTGCTTTTCACGTGTTGTAATACCAAAAAACCCTCTTTATTCCTGAAAAGTATCAGTTGCATGTCAGTATTTGCTCTCTCAAATGAATCAACTATAAGTATGTCCATACAATTGTATAATCATAATTTTATATGAGAATTCATCAACCTATTTTTGTATACTGAAACTGAGGGTTAAGATAATATCCTTCTGCATGTAAGTGTCGATGAAACTGTAGCTCCCACTTTCTATCAATAATATCTTCAATTTCTCTATAGTTGTTATCTTCTCCCACTAAGTTGTTAAAAATCATCTCATTTGCTTCATCCATAGTATTATATATGAAACTCATACCAGACTTTTCTCAGCATCTACCATCCTCCGAATCTGCACTAGTAGCCTAGTGATTTTAATAGCATAAATCACACTCCACCAAAATCTATCATTTAAAAAAAAAACTTCATTACTTCTTTCCCAGATATAGTTATAAGACATGCGTACGAGGCTAAAAGTATATTAATCTTTTTTATCTGAACCAGGACTTCTTTTGCTTAAAATCCTCCTAGGCGTGCAAATGAACTAAATTGAGTAAAGCAGAGACTTGCTTGAACTTGAAGTTGTTTACCAAATTCAAGCTCAAGCTCAAGCTCAACTTGAATATTTGTAGTAGTATTCAAACTCCATTCATTTAAAAGTATGATTATTTGAGCTTAGTTTGAGCTCAGCTCGTTAACTAATCAAATGAATCTTAGCAAGTATATTAGCAAGCAAAACTATGGAGCTGCTTTTTAGTTATTTAAATAAGCTTCATCAAGCTATTAATGAATAGTTTATTGAGCTACAATGAGACTCTAATTAAATGAACTATCAAGGGTTCGTATGGTTTGCTGAAAAAGAAATAAATGGTAAAATAAAATACAGTGTAAAAGGAACATAATGTATTTGAAATATTTTTAGTTATTAGGGTGAGTATAAAATAAATGCAAGTAATTACTTTTTCTATTTAGCTTGAAGTAAAATGAAAGTAGTATAAAACACGACAAAGATGGCCAGTGGCTAGCGGTGACATTGCCGACAATAGGCGGCTGTCGATGATGACTAGGATGGTCATTGTTGGTGAAGGATAGCAACAAACAAAAGTTGTTGGCAAGCAAAAATTGAATCCAACAGAGGCAGGCAACGTCAGGCGAGCACCATGCAGCCAAATCTAATTATGTATGTTTGAGCGATGGGTGGTGGCGGCGACAATCGATCGTGACGATAGAGGCGGCAATGATAAATAATTTATAATGTATTTAGAAATCAATCAAATTTAATGATTTCTAAATATATCAAGATTGAACTACAAGGTAAATTCAAATACATCAAAATTGTATCTAAAGTCTTAAACAAAAGCAATCTAATATAGAAAAGACCAAGACTCCAGCATAATCATATATTAAATAATTTATAATCAAATTTTAAATGACAATATTACTGATCTTTAATCGAGCTTCTTAACAAGCTTTATCAAATATTGTGCATAAACATAAACAAATCAAACACCAAGCCATTCGAATTTGTTTATCTATCAATTGAATATTTATAAAAGTGTTCAACCTTGTTTAATTAGTTCAATTAAAGAATCTTGAACAAACTCTAACAGAGAAGAGCTATGGGTAACTTATCAAGCGTATTGATACATTTGCAGCTTTAAAATCTTTTTCATTGTCATTGTTCTTACCATAGGCTAGCTTGGTAATAAGAAACCAGCATCAAAACACTAATATCAAGTATATCTTTCAAAAGTCATTCTAATGCGAGCAACAAGAAAGAGAGATGGATAAAATAGACATAAGGGATATAAAATGAGCATCTATTTTATAAATAGATGCAATTAGCAATTTATTTGTCATAGGTTAAACAAATAGATACACAGAACAGTTTTAAAATTTACAAAGGTAGCATCAGTAGCACAGCATGTAAACAGCACCATTTCTTCTAAAACATGACAAGCCGATATAGATGTATATATGCAAATTATATATATCAATATTGAATAGATAGCGTTCAAGAATGTATAGAATAACACATGCCTTCTTTTTACAAACCACGTTTTGTTTTCAGCATCTGTTACAGCAATCGAATAAACTGCAAAGGAATTTGATCCGAGTTTTTCAAAGTATGCTCCCACAACCTACAAGACATTTTGAAATGCAAATATGTGCAAAGATTCGTCAAATAATAAAAAGAACCCTCTTCATTGATACCAACATTTCTAGAATACATATATTTCTGTTTCAACAAATAGAAAATACAAGGACTCGACAGGAGATAATGCCCACAAAGCTATCCCTACATAATATGTCAACTTGGGTAAGCATATATCCATTATCCAAATTAATTTATATTGAATAATAAGATAAATAATAGTCAAAAATACCAATAAATAAGATACGAGTGTGTATTTAGTTCGATTGATGTGGTTTGCTTAAGAAACAACACATTAAAGAATATAGGTGCACATTCAGTTTTGCTAATTTCATTGCATTTTATAAATTGTCTAAATGCAAGCTGAATGATAGCAGCAGACGTCAAATATAACAATCCATTATGGATGAAATCTCATTAGTTCAAATGTGATGGAAGACACTAACAATTAATCCGCACTGAGATCAAACACAGTTATACACACGGATTCATGATGCATGCTGGACACTACTTATCTTTGCTAGTAGTATGTCATCTGAGTTCTCTATGAATTTCTATTGCATTTCTTTTTTCTTTTTTTTTTTTTAACTTGTATTTCTATCTCATTTAGCTCTGTTTGAAAAGCATGCAGAAGTTTTGAGCATGTGATGGAAAAACCCCTCCCATTCCAATCTATATATAGGAACCCTTATGAATGAAGCAAAACAACTGAACTTGAATCTAAGGGTCTTGCCTAAGAACCGTACCCTTCTGAATGAAGCAAAACAACTGAAGTTGAATCTAAAGTTCTTGCTTATGAATTATACTCCATCCCTCTCTCCTGCTTCAACTGCAACTCCATCCATTAGTATCAAAACAAGACTGATCCTTGGAGCCTAGCTTCCCATATCCTCCTCACCACCTATCACCATCAAAAGCCCAAAAAGCACAAAAATAGATGAACACATCAGCAAAACCAATAATGTTTAGTTTCTTAACATAATCTCTTTTAAATCCTATTACCAACCAAAATCTTACAATATTTCCTCATCTTTGGCCCCTAATCATGCCCACCAAATTAACCTCCACTAAATCCGTCCATAATCACCTTCCAAATATACTTGATACCTTTCCCTATACACCATATTTTTTCCACTGTTCCTAAATACAAAGGGAGTCAATAGCGATTAACCTTTTTCTTCCTGTTGGTTGGCCTCCTCAAAGGAGAAGATTGTTTCCAAATTTTCAATTTTGCTTTAAGACATTTTACAGCTATAAATTCAACTGAAAAGTACATCAAGTTTAGCTTTTAAGAAGAGGAATTCTCATTTTTGCACGAGACAGACGAATTGTGGAAGTGATCCTGAGGGGTAACATCCCTTAAAGCATTGGTAAAAAATTGGTTCAATTTTGTTCTATGACAGGTATTTTTCTTCGCATTGTATGGAGATAAATGAGTATCTTAGCAGCTCTTCAAGAAGTACTCATAAGAGATAATACTCTTCAAAACTACCATTTTTTCTACTTTATGTTGTGTTTCATACTCCACACCTTCATGCTTTTTCTGCAATTTTTTTCAAAAACAAACTTAGAGATTGAAACTCTTTTTTTCAGAACTGATTCTGGCATCCTATACAAATCAAACTAACATATCTAGTTAGAATTCAAAGGGTATTTTGAAGGGTCATACTCTCATTTCTATATGGCTCATATTTTACCATGTTTTAAAAATCGGACCGGACTAGCCAGTTGAATCGTAAACCGGTCCGTCGGCTGGTCTGGAATTTTGTAAGAACCGCTTAGACATGAACCAGATTGAACCAACTTGATCCAGCAAACCGGTTCGGCTAATATTTAATTAAATGAAATAATTTAATAAATTTATTATTAAATATTTTACATAGTAAATTAATTTAAAATTTATATATTTTAGTTAAACAAGCTTTAAAAATGCTTTATCAACTATGCTTTATCACATGGCCCAACATATCATGTGACTTCTTTACCCAAGTGAGTCAAAAAACTTATATAGGCAAAAACAATACAAAAATATATTGTCTAGGTGATGCGGGACTAAAAACCAAAGTGAAGTTCTCAATTGTCATATAATTATATTAATTATATTAATTTTTAATAATATTAGTATTTATTACATCATCCGGTTCGACCCCGGTGGAATCAGTTGAATCATGAACCTCTCCTTCTTTTGGTTCGTTATCCAGTCCAATTTTCACAACCTTGATATTTTACTTAGCTAGGCCCCATAGGGGATTTTTTTTCTTTTATAAAAAAGAGATTGTAATTCATTTTTGTTTTGTTTCATTAATCCAAAATTTAAAGAGATTTGTTCATGCTCATAAGCAAGCTATCAAGTACCTATTAAGTAGTATTTGAATAAACCAAGCCAAGCTAGAGGCTATTTGAGCTTGAGCTCATTTACCCAAATCCTGTTTGAACTAAATTCAAGCTTTCATGATAATTTCAAGTTTTTTTTTTTTGTTTAAATCTATACTTGCTCAAACTTGATTTGAGCTCTACACAAGTTTGGTTCATTTTGTCCTCATCAAGCTTTAAATGAATATCTCATTCAGAAATATAAACAAGCTTTGTCAAGCCAACTTAGCCAAGCTTGAAATATTTAATTTCTTTTGATGAAATTTTCAAAAGCAACATTTAGTATTATTAAATTTTTTAGATATTTTATTTATCCATTTAAAAGCATATGCAACAAGAAATCTCACAAGGATACATATTTGCCTGCTAACACAAAGAGCCTTATTGCTAGAAAGTTGAGCTTTAACACTATAAACACTACTATAAACCTCCTGCAGATGCGCGAATAAAAAGCATTAGCATGTGAGGGGAAACAAAAATTTGAGGGAAAAAATGGATGAGTGCATACTCGAGGGTGAGGGGAAAATAGAATTGTATTTTCATTTAATTTTAAACAAAGATTTATTCCGTTAATAATATTTATTTTTTATTTATTTGTATTTTTAAATGGTTTGTATTAATATTGAGTTGTTTTAAAAATTACTTGATCGAGCATTAATATTGAATATTTTATCAAGTCTTAATCGAGTTTTAATCAAGATTCTTAACGAGTATATTTATGAGCTTTATATGATATTCTTCATGCTAATAAATGAGTCAAGCAACCAAGTGTTCATGTTTGTTCATTTCATAACCGAGTATTTATAAAAATGTTCAAGCTAGTTAGTTAATCAAATGGATTGTTGACCTCCAAGTGTGCTCTATACTCGATTTGAGCAAGCGTGATGAGAACGATGGTCAATTGACACGATGTCACACAACAGGTCCAAAAGGCCTCAAAGTTATGTGAAACAACTCAAACATCGTTCGTTCGTGAAATGCACTAAGTCGATAGATCCATAATATAGAAAATATCAAACCACCTTTCGTGTGTGAATCGAACAAACAATTACAAAAATGAAGAATTACAAGCGCAACATTGTGTGAAGTCATCTAAAAGTCATTCGTTCGCGAAACGAACGTCATCGACATGGCCAAACATCCAAAATTACCCATATTGCATGAGTTGTCGCACAAATGAAAAATATAAATTTTGCTTGTGTGCAAGATGACAACAAGTAAATTGAGCCGCATGATCAACAAGGAATTTGCGAGTCATTCCATATTTGTTATGTTATTTTAATCAAATTTATAAATAATTCTATATATATACATATAATCTTATCAGAATTGTTGAAGTTTAGCGTCGTCTTATCCGATCTACATCACTTCAAATACAACAACAACAACATCAAGCCTTTATCCCATTACGTGAGGTCGGCTACATGAATCCTTTTTCTCCATTGTGTCCTATTAAAAGTCAAATTCTCGTTTAAATCTAATAAAGAAAGGTCATTCCTAATATTTTCTAACCAAGTATTTTTAGGTATGCCTCTACCTTTCTTAAATAATGTCAAATCTATACATTCTTCCAACGGGTCTCGGAAGCGCTTTATGTTGACCAAACCATCTAAGGCGACTCCTCTCTAATCTTATCCTTCTTAAACTGGAGCTACTCCACTTATCACATATATGCTCATTTGTATCCACTAATCAAGGTAAAGCCACTCATGCCACCAGAGCATCATCATCTCTGCCACAGGCCACAAACTTTATTATGCTTCTCTTTTTGGCCACAATTCGCACCATAACAGCATTGCCAGCCTCACCACATTTATAGAATTTTTCCTTAAGTTGAGGGTACTTTTCTTCACAACAACAAAGCCCGATGATTCTCCGCTTCAACCATCCAATTGAATCTACTGATAATATCCCCACTATTATACCTACACTCTGAAAAATAGCATCAAATAATCTCAAATGTTACTCTTATTAATACTTGAATCGCCCAAAGTCACAATCCCTCCTAGGTCCATCTACTATAAAGATTCACCCAATATTCGTGTTGATCTACTCAAGCGAAACCTTTAGACTTAAGGTTGACATCCATAATTCAAAGTTTACTTCACTCCTCTTCTGAGTCTATCAACAAAAAAAATCATTCAACCAAAAACATACACGAATACATCCCTCTTGCAAATGTCTAGTGAGAATCCATGACTAAAGCAAAACCATCCCAAAGTCTCATTCAATATCCCACACACATTGATCCTCGTCTCTTATATCTCTAGCTCACGCAACCTTAACGCGAGCCCAAAAGCCCTCTCACCAACAAATTCACTCTGATGAGTCTTGATAATGAATCTTCAATAGAGGGATTAATCCTCAAATCAAATTTTCATGTTACAACTATACAATTTAACGACTTCAATCATCCAATTGGTGTCTTGAAAGTGAGCTTCAAATGAAGTGCCATTTTAAAAAAAAAAATTTCACATTGCAAGCAATATTTTAAGAATGCAATGTCACTAATAATCGAATACATTGACAAAACCTCCAACTAGAGGCTTCATGATTTTAAAAAATGCCCAATTTCCAATTTTAACCTAGAGGCCCTATGTTAACTATGTTGGC